CAAGATGACTTGGATAATAGCGCGTTGTGACAAATTCTAGGGACCTTACTGGGACTTGATCAACAGAGGATACCGCACCGTGACAATGTCACTAACCAGTAGGTGGCAGTAGTGTTCTTTGACAAACATGGATGCCTCCAGTAAAGCACATTCACATGAAAATTACTCTGAATTAAAAACACGGATCATTTATTGAACAGGATGGAATCATTTCACATTTAAAGAACTTTCAGAAGTTTGACTTTTTCTTTAAAGCAGAGAGATGATAGAAATGGACTTAATAGAAACAGACTGATGGTAATGTTAAATTCTGTTGCACCATAAAACAAACAGTTAAACTTAAAATAATGATGATTTACAGAAGCAGTTTTCTAATGATGCTTCCAGGTAGAAATCTTTTTCTTTAAATCAAATTTAAATGATTTCTGCAGAAAGCAGAACATGTTAACTTTTCCTAAGACGTCACAGACGACCAAACGACTACAGGAAGTTTCTCACTAGAAAATCTATTATTGCTGCTTTTGTTTGGTTAATAAGTAAAAGAAAATGTTTTTGGATTATTTGTGTGTTATTCATTTATACTTTTCTAGCAGTTAATATGAAAATGTAAGATCAGATGTTGCTATATTATCTATTTTCTTAAAACTCACACTGGGTAACTTTTAATGTCACCCAGTGGGGAGTGTTGACATGGCGGTTAGAGCAGGGGGATTGTGTTCTGAGAAGGTTGCTAGTAGCGGGTTCGATCCCCACTCTGGGTTCCTGAGCCAGACCCTTAAAGGTATACTATGCAAAACATGTAAAACACGTTAAATTTTCTTTGTAGTAAATTGTGCTACACAATTAACCTGCCTTCCTTTGCACTTCCCTTCTCCGCTTGGTTTTGTCATGATTTAATTAAAGGTCTGACCCAAAATGCAGAAGACCAAACCGAGAGACCAGGGAAAAGTTTAACAGGTTTATTTAGAATATCAAGATGAATCCAGTGCTGCTCTGAACACTGTCAAACCGGAACTGGAAAGTGAGAGGAAGACACTGCGGTTAGTTCAGGCCCAGTGAGAAATTTGATTCTTTGACTTGAAGAAGATGAATAGGTTGCAGACTCATGTTTCCAGAAAAAAGGTGTCTTTATTGAATCCAGTCTGTGTGGGATGTTCCAGTGATTGTCTTGTTTGA